CTCTCTCTCCTGCTTGATTTCTCTCCCCGCTCCAAGTGCATGTTGTCCAAATAATGGCCTTTTAGGAGAACACAGATTCTGTAGGAGCTCTGCAGAACACTATGGGCTGTCCTTCGCAAGGACTAGAAATTCCTTCTGAGACAAATGATTGTCTGCATCCCATCTCTTCTGTGGTGTGAATGCCATGGCATCATTTCTGATCAAACATTAAAGCTGATAAGTATGATAGAATCCCCATCTCATCCCAGTCCCTTCTTAGAGACTCACAGTCCACAGCTGATTTCCCAAACCAGGAAGGAAAATGACTCTTCCCCAAATTCCCAACTTCCTCTCGATCCAAACGACCTCTTGGCATCTGAAAGGTGGAAGGAGAAATTACTGCAACTAACTGCAATCCCAGTAGCTGTCTGGCTGTATGAGAAAGCAGTAGAAATCATCCTAATTTATGTTTCTTCTTGTTATTTGTGGATTGTACCTGCATTGCTACTGCCACTCGTCCTTTATACACTGCATTTGAGACTGTGGCTAGGCTTTTGTTCAGAAGCTGAGGAGGGCTATGTGACCATAGCATATAATGTCCACAGATTGTGTTTTCCTGGACTATGCCTGGCGCACAGACAGAGTTCGGACAAGGCAGGTGGTCTATGATGGAGCTTGTTCTCCACAGAACTTCCTTCACAGCTCACAGCCCCTGGGAAATTGTTTCTCAAGGCACAGCAGCTCTCACAGACAATCCAGAGGCTCATGCTGCCTTTCCACAGCTCTGCAACCAGTGCCCTAATTCCACCAGAAACCTCTCAAATCCCGTCCCTTAGTCAACACATGCACGGGAAAGGAGGGTGCACAGTTACTCACATGAGCATCTGGACCACAGTTATTGCCTACCAGGGCAGAGAGGGGATGTTCCTGCATGTTATTCTGTGGAGGTCCTCTGGGGATTGCAGGTGTGTAGATGTGTGCAGCACCATTGCCATATTTTTTCCCTAGGTTGTGTCCCAGGACTACTGATCCTGGGATCAGAGGTGTGGGTGTCTGTGGATGATCAGTGGGATTGGTGGAGTGTATTCTCCTGCCCTGAAGATCTGTTCAGGTTCTCTGGGGTGACAGCACACACAGCATGCCACTGCTGAAGCATGGTTTTGCCACCTTATCAAGAACATGGTCTTCATCTGATTGAAATGAATGCAGGACCACTTGTCAGTCCTCTTAGACTCTGCAGCAGGCTTGGCATTAGCAACCGGGTCATGCATCTGCTGGGGAAGCTTTTACAGGAGGAGACAAAGGAGGAAAGATAATTAAGAATAATAATAGAAGAGTGAAGAGGCTGATCATGGAACAGGGGAGTAGGAAGGAGCACTTTCGTTAGTAGTCTTGGAAAAAGGATATAGTGGAGAAGCCAAAGAGCATAAGGTGACTTGCTGCCTTTAGTTTAGAGCATGTGTATGTGACATGGCTCTTTTTACACCATGAGATGCACTTCAGGATAATTTCAGAAGCTCTTGGTATTTGAACAATCCCTTTGTGGTTAGCTTCCATTGAAGGATTCTACACTTGTGAGACCCAGTCATCGTTCAACACAGGAAGTTTTGAAATTCCACTTTTGAGAATTTGGAGAGGGATTTCTGGTTTAGTATCTTCTAAGAAGAATTATCATAGAATCATAGAATTTTAGGGGTCAGAAGGCACCCTACAGATCATGTAGTCACCCCCTCCTCTGCCATGGGTAGGGACACCTCCCACTAGACCAGGTTGCTCAAGGCCTCATCCAGCCTGGCTTTGAACACTGCCAGGGTTGGGGCAGCCACCTCGTCCCTGGGCAACCTGTGCCAGTCTCCCACCACTCTTACAGTAAAAAACTATTTTCTCATATCTGATCTAAACCTCTCCTTTCTTCCTAAACCTCCCCATTCTTTTGACATGGCCCAAACTGTTCTTTGTAACTACTAGGGATTTACTTTAGAACTGCATTACTTACAAACCTGAACTGCTAATACAGCCGTAGTATTTGTTTGGTAGCTGGGTAAAACCATGCTCACTGGGGACTTGTATTTGATGGAAGTGTAATTTAAGCCCTGATCTTCAAAGCTGAAAACCTATTTGAGTTTCTTATTATATCACTTGGTCTCTAGTGATTTTATTACTGAAGTGTCAACTATATTAGAGTGATAGAGCAATCTTAAACTTGAAGAAAAGTGGAGAAATAGCGTGTTAGTAGGAAAATAGCAACTGTATAATTTTGAATGATAAAGTACACTACACTGTCTTAATGTAAACTGTAAATGACAACACATTGTAACACAGCGGAAGATTTCATGGCATTTAGCAATTTAATGAAATGTTAGTACTCACCTTTTTTTTTGTGGGATTTTGTTGAGGTTTTGAGGTTTTTTTTGGTTTTTTTTTTTTTTAGAAAGAGTGATTGCTTGAATGTTTCAGGGCTACCACATCAGTCTTAAGGGCGATGTAAACCTCCTTTACAATTTTTCCTTGTCTTCCAAATAGTTGTAGGTAGAGACAGAGTTTTATTATGTAGTCCAAATGTTCCCTGGCTGTGTCAAAAGAATGAAGGAAGGGACACAAGGAAAATCATAGATACTGGTGTATTGTGTTGTATTATTGTCTTCAGTGATACTAAACTCTCTAGGATGGGGCGGTTAAGTGCCACCAAGTGATTACTGCACTTGATATGTGGTTCCTGTCTGCAGCATGCTGCATATTGTCTGCTTTAAATACAATTTACCTATGATAGATTTCAGTAAAAATGAGTTAAGTACATGCCGATCTCTTCACTGTCTCCCTCCTACAGCCAAGAACCAAAGTCATATAGCTTGTATACAGGCACTGGGAGTATTCTATTACAAAATTACTGATTACAATCTTTGAATGCTACCTTTTATTTCTAGCAGGCAACCATTGCCTTTTTCATAATAATTAATAATTATTTAAGAAATAATTA